CACAGAGAGACAGGAAGAGACAGCAAGATGGAGAAAGACAGACAGGGACAGACAGAGAGATCATCACTGGACTTTGTTTTCGATAAGGAAAGACACCAAAAGTATTTAGTAACCCTAGTTATGTGTCAATAAAAAGTGTGTAATTTATCATCATAATCCTTCTTCAATCCTAACTTAAGAGAGACACACTGCAGTAGCAGAGGCATGAATTACAAGAAACAAAAAAAAAGAGTTTTACATCTATTATCTACAAGAATCACAGAACAGATTTATATTAACATTGTGTAATGCTTTAAACCCTTCAGATTCAATACCTCACAGAAACAAAACCAAGTGGAAAGGGATGACACAAATATTGTGTTAACGTATAATGACTCTTCAAAAAAAGACTACACACTTGATTATTTGAAACCACATTAATTCAAAACACAAAATAATTATAAAAATCAAGAATGAATGTAAATAAATAGAATATAATAAAAATATTAGAAAAATTAAATGCAAATTCAAATACAGCTGTACGCAATCTGCTATCATCCTATCATCAACTATTGTATTAACAGGTAAACAGTTAAATAACAAAACAGAAAAATAAATACTGAGACTAGTATAGGTTAAAACTATCAGACAAAAGTCACACCAATAATGACAAAAATAGCAATGAAAAAAACATGACAATGACTGTGGTGATATGACAGTGACAGTGATGATGATTCCATGATTTCATAATGATAAAGATGGCAAAATGATGGCAGGAAGAACAAAAAACAAACAAACTAAACAACAAAATTAATACTAATTCCTTTAATAATGGATTTAGAGATAGTGCCACTTTTAGGAAAAAGATTTACTAAATAAATATGCCACAAAAGCAAAAAAGAGCAAGACTGACAGAAAACCACATGGCTAGAATTCATTATTTGGGGGGATGGGGAGATATGTTTCCTTTGTTACTCAGCTGTGCTTGTACAAGGGCCACAATACCGTCTCTGCTTTTACAGACATACATGTTCCTGAGAGGAAGACAGAGAGATCCAAAGCACTGATTACCAGAAGAAACTCGAGCTTATATATTTCCCTTATGGTCCTTATTATTTTTCTTCTTTCCTTTCTTTCTGTTTCTCCTTCATGTATTTCTTTATAATTCCCAATACATTTATACATGCAACAAAACACATTCTTAGGCTGTCATTTGATACCAGACTTCCGTTTCCAGGATCATGCATCCTCTGTAACATTAAAGAATTAAAAATCCTGGATTTCCTTCAGTGACTGATAAGTATATCTTCATGTCTGTCAGATAATAACTGAACAAACAATACTGATCCTTATGCAACAGTAATTGACTGTTTAGTCTCAAATAAATTGGGTAGCTATATCATTTCCAATACATAATCACATATACCATAATCCAGTAAAACAAACAACACTTCCTTTTTCTTTCACGCATTACGCTTTATGTAGATTATCAAATGGCAAATTACCAGTTTAACTCCAAGTTCAGCCAATTCATCATTTTCAAGGATGAACTAGCCATAAATAAGATCAGAGTGCATGAAAATGAAGGATGTCAAAGTATACTGATTACGATAACACCAGTAATCATCAGATTCCATTTCAATTTCATAAGGAACCAACAATACACTGTCTGCAGACACTTCTGCTAACACTCTATTTCTATCACATGTGGCACTGTTCTAGTTGAGGGCTTCCTTGGGCACCCTCGGCAGTGGTTCAAAGCATGAGTGGAGCAACAGGGATCAGTCGGATGACCAGGAGGTCTAGGATGTGGAGGGCCAGGTCTGCTGTCACAGTTGGGTACTGGATTGAGTCAATCATGCGCATGATTGCCTGCTGTGTCAGCTCCTTGCCTAGCATCATCTTCAAGAACCCTGGGGACGAAGGTTTACTCATTTGTACACAACTTCTATATCTCTAGGAGTTTTGAGATTATTGGTTTTATTTTCCTTGTCATCCTTAAATATAAAAAAAATCTGTATACTTTGTGCCAAAATATTTCATTTGACAAGCTGAATGATACCAAAATGGAAATCAGCCCATTAAGAAAAGAAAAGCAATAAGTAGAAAAAGTATATGAGTGAAACAGCTGTATGATTTCTTATAAATTTGAGCTCTTTAAGAAATCATAACTACTTTTATAAAAGGGAAGGAGTGCTGGTTGAACAAGACCTCCCTAGGATGACTTAAACAGTATCATGCTGTTACCTATGGACGTGCTACTTCAAAATCAATGTTATTATTAGCATTTTGAAAATCTAGTAACATGATATAGGAGGGACATGCTTCCACACAAATATTTCAGTCTTTCATTTTATGACATATTAGACTTACCAGGAACAAAGTTGCTCAGAGCTTCCTGAAGCTGTATCCGAGATGCCTCTATATCACTGAGTTCTGGTTCTGGTGTTCTCTCTTCAGCGCTGAGAATTGCTTCTCTCAAGGCATGGATATACTCAGTCATTTGAGGCTCAGAAGATAAGCGCTCCAATTCTGCCTAGAAGTAAAAATGCAACATATTCATTTACTTGAAGGCTTAACTGATCAATGAAAAATAACAGACTATATTATTTTACTGTTGTGGTACTGATAATATATAAAAAATATGAATTCTTCCAATTATTTGTTTTCACAAATAGAATAGCTATGATTATTGTTGGATCCTCACTCTCTCCCAGGTAAGAAGGTACTGCTTTCACAATGAGTCATAAACTTCATGGTAGAAGAGAGAATTATGCAATAATAAACTCCCCTACCCTATATAGTTGTTATTTTACATGGCTGGAAAACCCACTTTACCTGTAGCCATCTGTGAGTAATTCGTGCAGCAGTGAGGGTGAGAAGAGTAACACAGGGCTGATGAGTGATTGGGTGATCTGAAGGCGAGAGGATCTCCACCACAGCATCCATTACACCCACAGAGAGGGGCCATTTCTGCCAGGCACAGTCCTCCTCTCCTTCTGTAAATGGGCTCCTTTGATAAAATTGTTCCACACCTGGGCAGTGTTAGACACTGCTCAAAAATTTTGAAATGAAAAAAATTCAGATTTACTGCACTACTTCAAGATATTTTCAGAATTATGAAAGATGAAAACTAATGCTATCACCAAGTTTTCAATGTAGGTGAAAATGTTAATGTTAACGAAGGTTTTAAACAGATTCGAAAGTAAACTGAACCAAACAATGCATCTATTTGTGTTTCATGGGGAGAAATAGAATATATTGAAATGAAAAGATATCAAAAAAAGAAATCATGGGAGGATTCATACCTTCCAAAGGACCTCATTCTCATGAGAAAAATGAAAAATAAGATAGCCCGACCTCAAAAGCACCAAGTATTCCTAATTATATGCCAAAGTGGAGTATTTACAAGATACGGAGGCAAACCACTTTTTCCAAAACATTAACCTGTAAATCTGAACATTTCACACCTGAGAACAAAAAACTACTACACACCATTTGGAGAATCTTCTTGGCTCTCTCTCCTTGTCAGGGCCAGAGGATCACAAGCTTCCTCTTTAGATATGGCACTTGGAGGTGGCACTGCATGGAAGGCAGGTGAGGGAGGGGCAGCATACGCAGCACTTCCTCTCCCCACAACAACAGAAAGCTGGTGCTGGTGAAGCTGCTGTTCTGGAGGTTGTTGCTGTACTGACTGTTGCTCCTCCTGTTGCTGTTGGAGCTGAATCCTTTTATAGAGAACGGGAGAGAAGAGGTTGCGTGACTCTCTGGCTTCATATGCTGTGTCCACTAACTCATCCTTGTCGGAGCCAGAAATTTCAACCATTAATGCTTCTTCAATCTGGCATTCCTGGAATATATTGTGATGGAGTAATAAACAACAAGAATATGAAAAAAACTACCATAATGAAGAGATAAAAAAAAACAAAAAAAAAAAACAATCAACCACAACACAATTGATCCAAGAATAAAATTGCACAGAAAACAAAAATGAGTCTTGAACTACAGTAAAGACTAAAATAGCCAGATCAAGAATACAACCCCAACAAAGATTACCTCTTCCTCTGCGGTGATATCCAGTTTCAGCTCATACTCTGCTTTGTTACCACTGGAGAGAAAGGCAGCCAGTTTGTTTCGTTCACTGAGGACCCCTCCACTCTTGCTTTTCAACATGCCATCTCCACCTGCACCTCCATTCACCCCAAGGTTCCCTGCAGACTCTCCTGCTGTGCTTGTGTCTGAGGACTCAAAGCTCGGAAGAGCCGTTTTAAGGCTATGGAAGACACCTGATACTGTCTTTGCCAGGAGCTGGAAGCATATATGCATTGCATTATTCTTTTGTGATTTATTTTACATCCCAGTAATATAATGAATGTGTTCATTCATCATCTTTGTTCTCCTTATTGTCCATTACCAAAATTTCAATCAGTGTTCACATTGTTATCAGTTTCCAATCAGAAAAAGCACCTTGTCCAGACGAGGAACATGCAATTCCAGGGGTTTCTTGACAAATGAGACAGAAGAGTCTGATCCATACGCAAGGAACTCCTTGACTGGGGTTGATATATTCACCTCTGGCCTCTGGATCACTGACTGTTGGTGCCAAACCCCTTTTATTAGTCTCAATAGATAAGGCAAAAAAATGAGAAGAATTGCAGAAAAATTTGAAGCAATAGAACAGACATGTTTCAATCTGAACTGAAAGTCAAGACAGATTTTCAGCAAATGAAATCGAGGAGAGGCAATCATACCTGGAGATATTTTTCAAGGAACTGCTTCCGTGTAGCAATGGTTGTGGAGTCCAACTTGCTGAAGGGTAAGTTGAGCCATTTATTGGGCCCCTTGACTCCCTTCATTGCTGTTCGTAGTCTGGAATCTTCCTCCAAAGCAGCATGCAAGGTCAGGAACTCACGAAATCTGGGTGAAGGGGAGGGAGTAATGATATGTGTTTTGACTTATGTGAATATTGAAATTCAATCAAGTATGTGGCTAGCATCATCACAAAAGAGTGGAAGAATAAAAGTGGCTTGTTAGATATAGAGCAGACAAGAATAATTGAAGATGTTTTCAGTTCTCAATCTGAAACTTAGACATCCTTTGAAATACATGAAATTAACCCATCAGATCCGGATGCTTCACTGAAGTCACACTGCCTAATATACGGGCATGAGGCTTATTTGAATGACCACTATGACAGGAGTCTGGCTTGTAGGCTAAGTGCACATGAACACTCATGTGCAGTGACAAGATTCCATGTCTCCTGTCTGCAATATTTTCTCTTTATCCTGATAAACATTTTTAGCTTTTTTGCCATTTTCCAATGTCTATAATTGTCCTTTGATTTGCTTTATCCAGATGGTAATAGACTGTTTTTCTTGCACAGACTCTATATCATCCCTCAAGGTAATCCAAAACTCACTGCAATAGTAAAAAGAAGTAAGACTTTGTTATTTGTCTAATTTCCATAACATTCAATTTTTTGTAATACAAACTGCACTGCTGGTCACAGCAGCTAGGACTAGGATCATGAGCATGGAAACAGTGTCCTAGATAGGGCTGGCACTCTTCCAGTCATGGCTCACAAATGGTACATAACACATTTGTTTATCAATGGAATTAATGTAAAAGCTCCTTCCTAAATTCCCAATCGCCCTCCAAGAGGTTTGTGCACTCATGGCGAGTCATTCCCATTACCTCAGCCTTCAGCTAAAATTCTCATGACTGCAAGTTCCAGTCACCATTGACCTAAGCCAAATTTTCTTATGATGCCACACTCAGGTCACCCGTCCCTTGAGCCAAATTTTCTCTTGACGCTACATTCACGTCACCCGTCCCTTGAGCCAAATTTTTAAATGATATGGCCATATCATCTGGATCATAGGGGTTAATTCTCGGGTAGGAGAGATCAGACTTGTTAGAAAGAAAAACTAATTAGTATATAGCCAGAAAGAAATGCCTCATCAAAAATCATGTTTCTGATGTACAAATCAGTCTGATGTATTTAGTATCATTTGAACTAAATCACAAAACTGCAGAAAAAAGTCTTTTGAGCATGACTTAATGTAGCATTCAGAACACTCCAAAGGTCATGCTCATGTCTAGTATTGTATGCATGCAGCACCCAAAATTTTAGTTTTAATACAATTCAGTCAACCTCTTTAGATAATAGAAACTCGATTCCAAATTCACGCTGTATAGTAATATGTAATGAAAGAGCCATTTTGTTCACTTATCTTTTTTTTCACGTCTACATTTGTAAATTCAGATTTCCTAATTGTTGCACTGTCCAAAGAATTGTGAACTTCAAACATCCATACACATGGAATGATTTTCACTATGAGAATATTTAGTGTAAAGTGCAAATTACTCGAGACAAGATGAATAACTGTGTAGGGACATACAGTGAGGTAAATCATGAAGGATCTTTTTTTATTTATTAAAGATTAATCATGCTTTCAGAAACTATGAGATTATTAATTACCTACTGATACTATCTTCAGAGCAAATTTAAATCAATGATTCAGTGAAGACTTAATCATGCCCTTATTCTATGTTTTTTTTTCTTAAAATTAATTTCATGTGCTTCATGCTATGGCCTCCTTCCCCCAAAAAATAAAAATGTATGTTAAAACTACTATCACCAATGACATTCCATGATGACATACCCTGCACCAATGACTCATCGGAAGTAGCTCAGCTTTCTCTGATAATTGAATATAATTTGCCTGGTGTCACTTTTAGATACTGGCACTTAAAGTGAAGGTAAACCTTCAATTTTTCCAAACTTTTGTTTCTAAAATACACGCTTCTAGGTGGTTCCCCCACAAATGGGGGAAATTGGCAATGTGTGCCAGCAATCCCACATTTCTGGATTGTAGCCAATCTTAAATACCATAGTTAATACGTTAATACATATGCGGTAAAAAGGTATTAGCTCATGCCACAATATTATAGATAAGGAAGGAATATGGTGGGTGAGTGCAAATTCATGGCAAATACCATGGTTTATTTCTTTGACAAGATATGTTGCCTATAAATCCTACTTGCTTTCTTTCTTCTAAAAGACATTACATATTGAGAACTATAAGGATATTGATGCTTTTCCTAAACAAGACTTACTTATGCTGACAATTGTATTATTGTCATATTTAAAAATCTTCCAGTTACAACACAAAGGTCATCTCTATTCTTCACCAATTAAACACAAAAGACATTATATGTTTACATAAGAAAATACTATTTTTTAACAGCCACTTGGGGGCAACAAATGATGAACAAAACAGCTCTTTACTTTTGTTTGCTAAGTATATAAAGGTATAAAGATGCAAATCAGATGATTTCCCGATACTCTCCTGCAAGAGGAAATTCCAAGCCCTTGTCCCACAAACTATACTTCGCTACCTGCAGTTTGAATAGGATACCAACAGAGCCATAGAAAGTGAAAGTCACGTTAAGAGCTTAGGCCACATTCATTACCATCTCTAGCCTCCAGTCTTCTTCACGGTCTTCTTGAGGAACTGGGGAATCACATAATCTGAAATGTCACAATTTTGAAGTGTTTTTTTACCTCTTCCTCTGTTTTTTTGTTTTATGCTGCATGCAATAACTCTGAGGCAACATGAAACAAGCATATCTGTGATGATGATAATTATAAATAAAAAATAAAACAGTGTTATTTCTCTTCTTACATTAAAATGTTAAATTACACAAAGAAAACTGCTGTGTACTGCAACTCAAGTATTTCCTTTTAGAAAATTTGTCATCCCCTTTCATGCTTTCTCAATCTGAACTTCTCATCTTCCAGTTTATATTGATATGGGATTTTTTTTATACCACTGTTCATCAGTGATATGTGTTTTATCATAAATCAAGGAAGGAAAGTAGGAAAGTAGACTGGGAAAAAGGAAGAAGGTAAAAGTAAAGGAATCTATGAAGGGAAAAAAGAGGAATGCAAAAAAAGAGAAGGTAAAGAGGGGAGGCAGGAGACCAAGAAAGGGAGGAAAGGAAAAGGAAGGAAGAGAGTTCCAAAACTTGGGTTAGAGGATGGAGAGAGATGGAATCATGAGAGAGAATAAGGATCTGGAACTGGCATAAAGTAAAAAAAATAAAAATAAAAATAATACAGGGAGGAGAGAGAGGACATAGAACAAATATAAAATATGGAGGAAAACTGATAAAAATCTAAGAAAGACAAGAGAGAGGAAATACAAGGTAGAAAACAGCGAGAAGTTCAAGGTAATAGAGAGAAAATTGCTTAAGAAAGTTGTATTTACAAATTGATTTGCAAATTATATTCTGCAAAGATACTTGGAAATCACATTTGCTATTTAAATATCATCCTTATAAAACACACAGCCTAGAAGTTTTGTGACATTTCTATATCAAAATATGTTGGTGTCAAAATAATTACAGGTCTTGTACACCTTCAACTACAATCACACTGAAATCACATGCAAGGTCTTCCTGTACTGTATAACATCTATATCATGCAAATTACATATGCCAAATAATAAACAACACTGAAGTTACTCTATCTACCTACAAAAGGTAAGCTAAAATAAAACTTCTAATCACAGATTAAAGAAAAAAAAAAACCCGCATACCTCCTCTTCACACAGTTTGTTTGAAGTACCATCCGTGGTTCTGGAACAGCTAAAGGTTCTTTTGCCACCTCCTCTGCCCCTTCTGTCTGGGGTGTTGCCGCACTCTCACACAAGTAAATAGCATCATACTGAAATAAAATATTAAAACATACCATAATCCTTTCAAACCGTGCTGGAATGGCATGACATAAATCTGATGTCCAATGCAATTTTTAATTCATTGATTGTTTCTACACTTAGATGACTCTACAAGTATCAAGTCATCACGGAGTCAATGACTAGTCTTCCTATCTCACCTGTTTACTCTTTATCTTGTTTTTTAAAATTTTATCTTTTTATTGCTATTAGTATCTCAATAACATTATAATAATGATGTCAATAATAATAAAGACAGTACTGAACTTGATTAATAGCATTAAAAAGAAGGCCTGAAATTCATAGAATGGGGAAATCAGGAGTGGTCTAAGCATTTGTGGAGTCATCTATGTGATACAAAATTCACAGTAGAGAGTATATATACACCTGTATACAAAGGATTAATGGAAGGGTTAATGGGGTGTCTATAGGCCTAAACTGATATTTTTAAAAATTTCTCTAAAATCCAAAAAAAAGTCATACAGCCACTCTGATTTCATATCTGAGTACAACAATCTTTCATTTATAATATTCGGAAGCCAATTTTTAGAAGTCGACTTTAATTTTTTGGGGTAAATATTTTATGAAGGGGTAAAGAATTTTACGATTTCCATACCCTAAAAGTGTCTTTTGAAATATATCACTTTTATAAGAAGCACATGAAAATATTACAAATCCTTATTGCAGCATGAGATAGATCTACTATTCAGCTACAAAATGAGCCATAATACGTTAAAATCAGACTGAAAATGCGTGTGCTATGTGTGAAAATGTGAGTATCATAATATTATGGCAATGGATTGGTATCCGCCATAGACTGGTGTCAATCATCTCTTTAAGGAGCTTTTGGGTGTGGGTGTGAGTGCCCACAGGTATAGCTGGTGTGCTGGAGACCAACAGGAGAGCCGGGGCGGCTCACCCGTCGACTGAGGCCTGGGTAGGCCTTGTTGCTGCTGCGCTGTGTCTTGCTCTGCTGGAGGATCGTGAGTGCTGAACGCGGCCCGGGTGTCGGAGCTTAAGTGGGTCTGAGCTGTGCCAGCCACCCGGGAACAAAGGGAGCCTGCGGGCCAATAGGTGAGCCGTGAGGTGTCCGTGGTCAACCAATCAGGTCTTGGTATGCGTTGTCGAGAAGCTGCTGATGGTGAGGGCGAGAGGACAGGCTGTGGACCTGGACCCAATCTGGGGGAAGTATGCCGCGCTGCAGGTTGCGGGGGTCAGCTACAGGTACTCCCCCTCCAATGAGGGAGCTAACCGTGATACTCCAGAAGACTGGGTATTTTTGTCACTCCGGAAAGTCACCAGTATGGCAATGGATTGGTATCTGCCATAGGCTGGTGTCAATCATCTCTTTAAGGAGCTTTTGGGTGTGGGTGTGAGTGCCCACAGGTATGGCTGGTGTGCTGGAGATCGACAGGAGAGGTTGTTCTCATCTTACGTGATATTTAATAAGCTTTCAGAAAATAATCTCATATTTCAATTATCTCTAATCATTACGTCACAACTACCAATTATCTAAGGTAAGGTGAAAAAAATAATATTTTGGTCGAAATCGAAAAGGGTTGCTACCACCAAAAAAACAGCGGTCAGGCCTTGAAATTTTCAGGAGAGGATCGGAGGCCTTGAAACTCCTTGAAAATGCATTAAACTCAATTTCGGCAAGATGGGTGAAAAACACTGAAAAATGACCAGACGATCCCCTTAAAATGTCTATCCCCACAAAAAATTTTACAATTCACAATAAAAAATACTTGAGGGTCACACATATACATATATGTGTATAAACCAGCTATTAAAATATATATTATTCAATGTCACAAGCAGCAGCTATCTGTACCTGCATTCCAATAGATTTGGAATGTGTGTGTGACAAGCAGCTTGAAGATATACTGTCCACCACCTATCATTGCTTATGGGTCTGTTCTTGTCAGCTAAACAATTATTCCTGAGATTCCCTAACATTCAAGCCTAGGAAAGTGATATCACTGTGCTGAAAACTGTGGGACTAAAGATAGTGATTTTTCTGCTGAGGACATTGTGCATTACGTGGAATCTTTGCACAAGTGTATTTCCTTAGTGCTACTGTAGCAACCACAACTCCCAAAATGTGTAACTCAGCTCAGCATACAGCCCAGGGTCTCATTAGGTCCAACAGCCTTGTCCTTTCTCTCTCACCAGCAGGCACTTCTTGAGACCCACTGCTGAGACCTGACTGGTTGATACCAGACACCTCATAGCTCTCTAATTGGAATGCTCAGGCAGATTAGATTCCCCTCATTCCTAAATTCTTGGCACATTCACAGCCTACTTGAAGTCCATGATCCAGTGATTTCGCATTATCAGTATATCTCAACTCTAGAAGCACCTCAGCCAAGTAGCAGCAACACAAGACTGCCCAGTCTTTTGCCGACTGGGGACCTTCTCTAGCCCCCCTTTGAAGTCCACTTCACCTACAGCACCCAGCCATACTAGTTTGCACTCAAACCCACTCAATCTCATAAAGAGATTACCAAGACCAAACATGTAGTAGAAACCACCTATCTACTACAGTATCAGGACTTCTCATTACCTGAAAAATCATATCTATTTGTGTTATTTGTCTCCCTGAACTGTAAAAATAATACAGTGATTAATTCTGACATTTGTGTATTTACTATGGAACACAGTAGTCATTTTGGAAAAGCTGTTTGTTTCTGTTGTTTCCTTATCTCACCTAGAATGAGCCTAATCTAAAGTGTCTTTCTCTCATTCCCAGGCTCAAGTCATACAAAAGCATCAGCTCCCTCACAGGCATTATGGGACTGTTGGGGGAAGTATTCTAAAATGTTATTAACCAATTCACTAACAACTAAGTGTACATCAACATCTTCCTGACAATGGCATGGGAAAATCACCTGAATAGTATAGAGTGTGTACTGCGATCCTCCTGGCTCAGTATGAACTTCTGTTGAGGGGACGCTCACACTCAGGAACACACGGCCATCAAGGGGTATCTCAGCTGCTTCCAAGAGCTCTTCATCTGCCAAACCATTGCCACATGACTCTAAACTTGAGACTGACTTGACTGAAGCTGTTGAAAAAATACTGAATGAACTGATGCTACATGATGGCATCTACTGCATCTTCGCATGGGGGAAAACTGTCACTTTTAAAAACATTCTGGTATTGTCAAAATAGAAAAGACTAAAGTCTAATGCTTGATTTTAATACAAGCATTTCTCTACTTCAAAACTACAAGTAAAATACCTGTAAACATTTTCTCAAACATGCCAGAAAGTAGAATAATTTTTCAAAGGTTTAAAACTGGCTTGATACTTATTCGCAAAACCTAGATAGGAAAAAACCTCTGCATCCTCATTCTAATTTTGGAACAGAGTATAAAATTTTAAGAACATACATCAATAATTCATAAACTCTAGAAAACTTATTTACTATGAATATATGAACATAAAATCAAGCAAATATACATGTACATCATACAATTTTACTTCTCTTTTCCTTCTCAAAGTTAAAATTCTTCTTTCCATTAACATAAAGTGGACTTCCAAAATATATGTTAAACATGAAAACAAAATATACAAAAAATATCTTTGCAAATTTCAGAAGTCCACACATTCCTACAGCAGCTACAAACTCCACTTCCTGCCCAAAATATGTTACACCAATCATTCCCAATAAACAAATACAAAGTAGATTCTTACCAAGAGAGCCTGAACTGTCTTTGTGAGTAAACGTAAAACGTGACTTCTCCTGAGTGTACCTTCCAGGGTCTGATTGTACAATCAT